TGGGGTCCCAACCCCCCACCCCCACCCCAGGCAATCCTCAACTGCTGGTGTGTTTTGGCCTGGTTGGGGGCTTCGGAGGGGGTTTTGGGTTCTGAACCCTGAGACGCTCTAGGAAGCAGCGAAGTGAGCAAACTGTGGAAAGGGGGTGATTGCAGTTAGCTGAGCTCCATCCGCGCTGACCTGGGGTGTGGCCTCGAAGACCTTTCCGCCGCTGGGTCCGACTGGGTTGGGACTAGAGCGTTGCATTCTGGGACACGGTCACGATACCCAGGTGGGTAAAACCTTTGCCGCCCTGGGGGCCAGACAGTGACCGTGTTTTGTGTTTGCTGCCATTTTAGCTTAGTCTCCAGCATGCTGTTTGAGAAGTAAGACTTTCCCCACCCCACCCCCCATTTTCTCACGCGTCTAGTAAGGCAGTTCTCGCAGCCGGAAAACTTTCTCTAGTCTGTTTCACAGTTTAGTAATGCTTGAACTTGAATGCTTCTAACCAGAAAACTCATGGGTTTTTTTTCTTAACTGTAAAATTTAATGGTAATTGTAACCTTGTGATAAGCTGGCATAGTAATAATGTTCGGTGGTTATAGTAACCCAAATCCCAGTTTGGGGATATCCAGTAATCAACAGGAAGTGATTTTACGGCTTTTCTAAATTTGGCAAATAATTCCCAGTGTTTAGCATAAAGGCTTATGGGCTTGTATACATTTCTTTAGAACGTATTGCCAGAGTGAACTCGGTTTTAAATTTGGGCTATTAAGTTGTACTTGTGTTTGGAAGCAGGTGCTGGCCTGTCTGAAGTAATTTATTACAGCGTTAGGAGCTGTAATACGTTAGGAGCTAGTCTCCTGCCCACTGCCATTAGGAATGGAATGGAAAGCTCAGGAGATTTTATTTTGAAACTAGGTACTGGTTAGGTGACTTTGCAAGCTTGCCATTCTGCCGAAGGCTTCCCAGTAGCTGAGATTAAGGATGTGTCACCACAGCTAGTTTGAGCTTAAGTTCAGCAACCTTTACAAAACAGGAGGAATTAGGGAGGACTGTGTACTGGTGATACGAAACAGAGGTGTGAAGGAATGGTTACTAACAACAAACAGGTTGCATCTTTCCCTGATATCATGGGAGCCTTTTTCTTCTTTTTCTTTTCTTTTTTCTTTTTTTTCTTTTTTTTTTTTTTTTGAGATGGTCTCCATAGTCTTTTCCTGGAACTCGATGTGTAGATGGGTATCTGGCTGCATCTGCCTCTCGAGTCCTAGGAGTAAGGGTGTACAACACCACGCCACCACGGGAGTCTGGAAAACTGAGGACTTCTGGGTACTTTTATAAAGTGGTGATATGTGGCACTTTTTGTATTTTAAAAAAACTGGGTTTTGGAAATAGTTTTCCTTACATATGGTCAGTAATAAAATATAGGTAGAATCATTATGTGAGTTTGACACTACTTAAAAATGTAGATATAGAGCCAGGCTGTGGCAGACAGATCTCTGTGAATTCAAGGCCAGCCTGGTCTACAAAGCTACACAGAAAAACCCTGTCTCAAAAAAAAAAAAAGTACAATATAATCAACTCCTGTTTAAGTTCAGCCTGTTGACATGACTTATGTAGAAAGCAGGAAGCAACATTTATTTATTGGAGGCAGGGTTTCTCTGTAGCTTGAGCCTGTCCTGGAACCATATAGACCATACTGGCCTCAAACTCAGAGATCCCCCGGTATTTGTGAAAGTAAATAGATAGGCATCACATTTGCCTTTGAGACTTATCAATGGAAATATATGACTGTATTTTGTACAGTTTAAAACTGGATATTGAGGATGAAGCTGTGAAGGTCTCCCTGGGTTACACAGAAAGACACCCCTTCCCATCTCAAGAATAGTTACAAGGTGCCCAGAAATTTGGCAATCCTTGCCTCCACTATGATCTATACCATCTAATAACAACAAACAACAAAAATATTAAGCAGTATTTCAAGAAAGTGGTAGTTAGTATGAATAAGAATAGTTATATAGTTGCCTGGAAATGTCTGGGGTGTGTGCCATGGTAGTAAGCATAATTTCGGAGTCATTTATCCTATGTTATAGTTTATTTTTTTAAATTAGTAACAAGCTTGCTTCACATGTCAATCCCACCTCCCTCTCCCTCCCCTCCTACCCCGCTCAGTCTTAAAGTTGTTTTAAGGATTATTTACATTCAAAAAATAAGCCACAGCCTAAAAATCTATGTTGTGGACAGTTGGTGCTTAGAAAGGGTTGTGGATTGAATTGTCCCGTGTTCAAAAATACAGAACTGAATTTGCACTTGCATCTCTGTCTCGAAGACTTACATTGGTCAAAAATTGCTTATTACTTTGTGAACTTACTACCAGAAAGGGTACAATGAGGCTTACAATTAGGGTTTTAGAAAGAGATACTTTGTGATAATTAAACGCTCTATTCAGGTAAGAGTACGGATTTGTTTGTACATATATTTGTTAAAAATTGTATGTATTTGTTTTGGCCCTGAATCAAGGCCAGCAGTTTGCTGGAGCTGTTGGTTTCAAGCAGGAGCCTAAAGAAATGTCTTCCTATGGTCTGTTGGCCATTTCAGAAATTTGGAAATCTAATGGTCAATTCATTAGAAAGAAACAAACTGACTGGATGTTGTATGCAGTTCTGTAATTGTAGTACTAGGGAGCCTGAGTTGAAAACAAGGAATTTGAGGCCAACCTGCTCAACAGGAAGGAGAATGCCCCTCCCCATGAAACAGCTGAGTCATTGGTGATAGATGTGGTGGCTGATAAGTCTTAATAATATTCCAAATATAATACTTCTGCATATACAAGAACTTGCATATACAAGAACTTGTATCTACTGCAGATCTAGTATTTGTGTAACAGAAAACACGTTAACTGTCCGTTCTTCCCACTCCTTTAGTAATCCCAGTTTGGGGTGACTACTTATCCTGGGACTAGGATCCTTTCTTACTCTTTCCTATGTAACTATTATAATTGCCTCTGGCTTTAGCTGCTGTTCTAGCTATCTAGATACCATCAGTCTGTATCCAACAGAAGATGTGGCTACGTTTTTAACTTTGGTGTAATCTTTCTCTTAGAGTATGATTCTCAGTATTTTCTGCCTATATTTTGTGGACCAAGGGTTGTTTCATGACCAAAAGTAGCTGTAGAAGAGGGTGACCGTATTCCTGGAAGATTACTCAAAGGGAAATATTCTGTTAGAAAGTTAACCCTAAAGAATAAAGTGCCTTTCATTTCTGTGCAGCTTACTCTATTGGTCTAATACTTGAACATAAGCCCTCAAAAGCCACAGTATAGTTTATAGGGAATACCCAAGATTGATGCAAATAGTACTGTAATCTAGAGTTGCTTTAAAGAAATCAGCTTGTTTTGAGGACAAACCCTTCAAAATTATAAGTGTCTCAAAGGTACGAATATAAAGTGATAATGGTGGAAAGACATAGCACTAATCTGTGGCTGAATCTTTGACAGGCATGTCATGCTACCCAGAGAACTTTCCAAACAAGTACCAAAAACTCATCTGATGTCTGAAGAGGAGTGGAGGAGACTTGGTGTCCAACAGAGTCTAGGTTGGGTTCATTACATGATTCATGAGCCAGGTAAGCTTTGCTATAAAGTACTAAGTAAATACAGTTGTTAAGAGTCAACTTTTTAAAAACACAAGTATTCGGTGTTAACTAAAAGTAACTGAGAAGCTCAACTAGTTTTGTAAATGAATGATTCCTTACTCCTGAATAATGTTCTGTTTTCTATAGTAATATATAAGAATGACAGTAATACATTATCTACTTGTAAAAGTGACTTAACCAATTTATTCAGCATAAAACAATTGTTTAAATTCTGTGCCTATATAGAAATTGATGCAATTAGATGTGATTTTTTTCTTCCTTTAGCTCTTTTAGAGAATTATTTACCATATTAAGGTCAAATGAGATAGGCATATAAACACAAATTCTCCTGTATCATACATGTCTCTTATGCTAGTATATGGTATCGACCAACATTTTCTAGATATTAAGTAGTAAACTAGACTAAAGCTTTGTGGTGTTTAAGTTCTAGCTTAGAACTATAGATTACTAACTAATGGTGGGCACAAAATTTGAAGACATACTACAAAAACAGATAAAATTAAAGCTCTTTTTGTATTTGTAAAGATAAACAATATTGTTAAACTCTTGAGTCTGTGTTAAAACTTTGAAGGGACTATGACAGATACTTAAGAGTTCGAAGATCCTACTACAAAAAATGGAGGAACTTAACTATAGATTCCCAGCCTTCCTCACACTGAATTGGGAGGTACTGTACGGACTCCTGGTTTAGTTATCTTTATCTTTTTGTATTGAAGCTTCCTACAGAGTCCAAACTTGACTGGAACTCTCCATCCTTAGCTAAGTGTGGGGATTATAGGAATACAGCACAATTCCTTGCTTTCTGGTGGCTTGTTTTGTGTGCTGAGATTGGACCTTTGTACTTTCTAGGCAAACACACCACCATATATACTATATACAGCTATTCTATGCCATATGTGTGTGTCCAACTTTGTGGTGATTTTTTTCTGAAGTGCATTGGCATGATTTTTTTCTGAAGTGCAGTAGCTAGCTAGCTACTTTGAATGAGACTCCCTTTTGCCAAAGAGATAACATTTCTCTTTTCACTGGAAATGAGGTTTTACAGGTAGAAACCATTCTCTCCAGAGTAAGCTAAAGACTTAAAATAGTGGAGAAATGCTATTATGAGATAGTTTGCCTATGTTTAGTGTTTATTATTAATTTTAAAACACTTTAAACAGTGACTGGTTGTTGGCATGAAACTTAATGATGAATATTTCCTTTCCACAGAGCCGCATATTCTTCTCTTTAGACGACCTCTTCCAAAAGAACAACAAAAATGAAGTGCAGCTGGGATCGCTTAATCTTTTTCAAATTTAATGTATATGTGTATATAAGGTAGTATTCAGTGAATACTTGAAAACTGTACAAATCTTTCATCCATACCTGTGCATGAGCTGTATTCTTCACAGCAACAGAGCTCAGTTAATGCAACTGCAAGTAGGTTATTTTAAGTTGTTCGAGATAAATTTCCTTGTAGTTTTTTCTTAATATAAGTAGTGCCTGTTTTACTTTACCTGTTACTTTTGTTAATAAAGTTTGTATGTTGCATTTATCACTATTGTAGAAATTAATTGACTTGACTCAATAATCTTACCCCTGAAAGAAATAAACATACTTGAAAAAGAAATACTAAGGTACAAATGATGGGATTATTGGGGATATTTAACCTAGAGTCAAAATAGACTTTCACTTTATTGATATTCTAACCCTACTTAATACTTACTACTTGTTTGTGTCCACAATGTCTCCAAAACACTAGTGGTTTCAGAGAAAACTGTTTTATTAAGAAGCACTGAAAGCTGGGTGGTGCCTTTAATCCCAACACTCAGAGGCAGAGAGGCGGGTCTCTGGAGTTTGAGGCCAGCCTGGTCTACAAAGTTCCAGGACAGGCCCAAAGCTACAGAGAAACCCTGTCTTGAAAAACCAAAAAAGGAAAAATAAGCACGGAAACACCATATGTATGCATTTGGACTGTCTTTGTCGGCCAGGAAATTAAGTGTAGACACATTAGTGGATTACCATGAGAAATGTATGCATGAATGGCCAGGAACATAAGACCCTGAATAGGCCGGGCAGTGGTGATACACACCTTGAATCTCATCGAGGCAGAGGCAGGCGAATCTATTGTTCAAGGCCAGTCTGGTCTTGAAAGAGTTGAGTTCCAAGATAGCCAGGGCTACATAGAGAAACCCTGTCTTGACCATCCCCCCCCCCAAAAGAAAAGCCCCCGATTAGATTAACAAGGGTGACTTCACACATAGTAAACACCCATGAGCAAGCCTTTGGTGTATGCGGTATGGTAAACCTGTGGGACCTACCTGAACCAGTACTGAAACTGTTCGATTAAGGTTCCAGTGGTCAATTCTCAACCTGCCGTTTGCCAAACGGATAGCTCTGCGGATGACTTTCCCTGCCCTTCGTTCTCTTCACAGTTGGGTGTTCTTAGTTTCTTCACAGTGTGTTTTGCTGAGCTTTCTGTTCTCCAGACACAACACAGGTTTCCCAAACAACTAAACATTCGACCCTCGTGTGGTTTTGGTTTCTTAACCTGCCTGCCAGCACCATCCTTCCTATCTTGCCCTAGAAATTCCGCACTTGCAAAGGTTACTGGCCGCCCTCTTTCCTCCATGAGCCTCCATCACCTCCGCTCGGAGAGCCTGCCCTCCCTCCTAAAGTCACACACACGAGGCCCGGCCCCCGTCAGCAGCGCCCTTCTGGGCCTGCCGGCAACCACCTCCAAAAGCAGCTGTACCGGTTTCTTCCCACGTGCTCCCTTTAGACCCGGATCGCCAAGCACTTCCGCCATAAAAAGGCTTCCGTCGCCTTTCGGTGACGTACATCCTGGCGCTGCCGCGCCGTAGGCGGAAACGTCGAGTCGTTGCTTGGGCCCGCCGCTCGCTTCACGGCGCGGGCTCTTCCGTGGCCGCCATGGCGTCGGAGCGGCCGCGGGAGCCCGAAGGCGAGGTAAGGGGAGAGCTGCGGGCCTAGGTACCCGCGCGGGGCCGCCAGGGCCGAGGTTCGGGGGTGGGGCGGCTTGACCCTGCCGCGGCGCGGCCCGCCAAGTGATGCCACAGAGGCCGCCTACCGCCCCCGGCTCCTCAGACCCGCGTCGCACCCTGCGCAAACGCTAGGGGGCGCGCCGGCGGCCGCAGACAGCCACGCTTTTGGCCAAACGCGGTGAGGAAGTTGTCAGAATCTTATTCCTTATTGCAAGACAGAGCTCAATTTTGAATTCCAGGGACTTCTGGCCATGAGATGATTTTTTTCGCAAAGGTTATATGTAGTATACTAAGTACAAGTCGAATATCTGGTGTTTTTTGTTGAAAAACTAAATGGCAATAAATTTCAGCAGTGTGTTTTAAACTACAGTTTTGAGCATTCCCTGGGTATATTTGGCTACAGTGGGTCCCGAATTCTTATGTATCTCATGTATAAAGATGAGAGAGGTAAAAAATAACTTTCCAAGTTTAAATCCTCAGAACCGGTCCAAATTGTGGTTCTTATTACATAACAATGTTGAATTTGCTTCGGCTTTAATTCAAGGTCACCATTTTCACTTTTAAGGTCCAGGAAACTTCTTTTTCTAATAAAAAAAAAAATCATTAGGGAGATATTGCTACCAATATGCACCTTTTGCTATGCACCTTTTAATCAGCATTGGGCCTTTTAGAGTGTCTTTCTTTTGTTTTTTGTTTGTCTGCATTTGGCGAATCTCAGAGTGTTATAGCCCAACCCACCCTTTCTTCCTCAGGATAGCATCAAATTATCAGCTGATGTCAAACCATTTGTCCCTAAGTTTGGTGGGCTCAATGTGGAGTGGTCAGAGTCCTCAGAAGCACGAGTCTTCCCAGGCTGTCCAGCCAATTACTATCCATTTGTGCAGGAATCACCGGTGACTGAGTATGTATGTTCTAAATGCCTTGCCTTATGTAACAGGGTTAGTTCCTGGAGACAGTGCTAATCACATATATATACATACATGAAACATACTAGCATCTTGCAGGCCAGGAAAAGGAGGCTCTTCGCCCAGGAAAGATCCGGGTCTGTAGTTTAACTGTATTCTGTGCTAAACATTCAATCAAGGACAGAGATGACTGAACTTCCTAGAAAGTGCAGTCAAGGGTTCATTTTTTCACAGTTAAAACTCTTTCACACATTTAGGGCCTGAGGTTGCCCCTCAGCAGTAGAGGGCTTGCTTGCCATTGTCTAGCCTTGGGCTTGATCCTAAGAGCCATCAAAACAAAACTGAACCAAACAAATTTACATTTGTATCGGGAAACGAAATGGCAAGAAGGAATGGGAAATGGGAAGGAGCAGATAGATAATATGCCAGACTGGGCAACTTAGCAAGACCCTGTCTCAAAACAAAGTAAAAAATAGTCCGGAGTTCTATAGCTCTGTGGTAAGCTCTTTCTGCCATACCTGAGGCCTCAGTCCCCAGTCTACTGACTCATTATTAAGGTGCCCATGTAGTACGACTCTTGGCCTCTGTGCTGTGCACTGTTTGCTTTGTACTCTGGCCCTCCCAGCACAGTGCAGGACTTGGTGGAGGGGCTACAATGGAGAGAGGCTGTGCAAGCTGTAGAGCAACTCCTCAGCAAAGGGAATGAACGGTCTGCTGGCTCTTGAGTCCAGGGCTGCAGAGGCATTGTCAGGGACTTGACGGACGGTAGGGCGCAAAACTGTTGACCCGTGTGCTTCCTGTGCTGACACTACACAGGAACTTCCATTTTAACTCCTGACTACTTTGTGGTGGTAGGGAATAAACCCGTGGCCTTGTACATTGTATGAAAGCTGTCTACCACTGAACTACATTGCCCAGCTCTAGTTTGTTAGTTCTAAATAAAAGGTCAGCAGCAGCCTTTGCAGGAAGAAAAGGAGGTTCTCTTTGGCTGTATGTGCATGCACACGTGTGTTGTGTATGTGTGTGGTAGACGCACATGTGTATGAATGTGCACATGTGTGCACATGCACGCGGAAGGAAGCCTGAGGTTGATGTTGAGTCTTTCCTCTGTTGTTCTTTTCTTTTTTTTTTGAGAAAGAGTCTCACTGAGCCTGAAGCTCATCAGCGAGCTCCAAGGATCTGCTCTTCCGGGCTCCAGGCTGGCGTCACAGACACACACTGCCATGCACTGCTTTCCACAGGCTCCGGAGACTTGGCTCAGGCCCTTGTGCTTGTGGTGCAGGCACTTTACTGACAAGCCTTCTCTGTAGCCCTCATTTGGTTGTTGATGGGGGCATTTCCAATGCTAGAGTAAATGATCCAAAAAAAGTAAAATAAAATAAAATAAAAGAGTTTACACTATTGTCTTAACAAAAAATTAACATCCCTGGTTTGTGTTATGAAATCTGCAACTGAAATTTACACTTTTTAGACAAAAAGTTTACCCTGAAGACATGGCCTTTGGAGCCCCTGCATTTCCAAGGCAGTACGTATCTTCTGAGATAACACTGCATCCGTTTGCCTGTTCCACTTATGCCCTTGACTCTGCACAGAGTGTCTGCTCAGTGCCAGCCCTGCAGTGTGATCACAGCCAACCTCACTGTCACCTAGGCTGTCGGACAGAAAAACCCCAAAATGAGCACACGTGCCCTCTTCCTCGGGAAGCAAAAGGTGTATTTAAGGTGAGGAAATGCTGTGGTTTTCAAGTGTCCTGACATTGATCATTTGATTGTTTAAAATGTGAGAAGTTAGTATGTTGCATAATATTTAAGTATTGCTTACCTTGTTGTGATAATCAGCCTTTTTTACAAGCGGCTTGGTCTCTTCTTTCCTTAAATGCTTGGGTTGTGAGTACTTACTGCTTCGCTCTGTGAAAGTTTCTTTCTCAGTATGGTAGTAGTTTTCTCATCTCCTACTGTTGTTTTGAAATCTCTGTTGCAGAAAAGACCCTCTGATGAGAGGAGGACAGGTGATGAGCAAAGGTCAAGCAGCAGACGGGCCGACGGTGCAGTGCCGTCTGAGATGAGAGCGGCTAGAGGTTCCTATCATCTGTCCGCTCGGACTGAGAGTGGTTTGAAAACAGGTAAAACTAACAAACTTGTGTAACGCGTCATCCCACCTTCCTAAAACAGTACCATCCCTGTGGGGTTGTTCATCATGACTGCTCCAAAAAATGTGCCCTGGAGTCTGGCCTCTCTGAGGCCATCAGACTTGTGATGGTGGTTTCTAGATATCATTTCTTTCAGGCAGTGATGGGAGGGGTTGTTACAGTGTGCTATGTGTTGCATTGTATACTCAGAAGGTTCTGTAACCTATCAGGACCACCACATAGCATGCAGGTGATGACCTCAAGGTTCAGAACATCCATCCCCTTAGTTCAGATCACATCCATAGTCTTTACACTGTGTGTGTGTGTGTGTATGTGTGTGTGTGTGTCCATGCTCACTCCTGAACTCGCTTCTCCATTCTGAGGTGGGAGGAAGATTTGACTGGAGTTAAAATCCCATGCTAAAAAGTGCCAAAAATGAGCACGCCGGTTACTAGAGATTACACGTGCATCTCCCAGCTGGAAGATTTCTGTTCCCACCTGTCTGAAAGCTAAGGAGTCTA